TAATTGAATTTTTAGTTTATATGCAGGATATTATGGCAAAAAGTAAATTGAAGTATCTCAACCTAGAAATTTACAGAGAAATAGATCTCAAAGTTTTAAAAATATGCCTAAAGTTTCAACAATAGTTGATGTGTCTTTTGTTTTGAAACAGTAATTCTAGTCTCGTAAAATGAATCCTATCAATCAGCAGTTGAATAGAGAACATCAGTTGAAAGGGTTCTCTGTTTACAGGATATCCAAAACAAAAAAACAGTCGTACAATAAAACTACAATAACTCTTCAACGGTTCAAGTGATTCACATGAGATTTTCATCATTTCATAAGATGTTCTCGTATTTTTTATTTAATATGACTTCACCAATAGCGATCATTTTAAAAAATAGCTATGGGCGAAATGATGTGAATCTTTGAAGATTTATTGAAGTTTTATCTCACGAATGATTTTTGGGATATTCTGTAAATCTAGTTTATTTTCACAATTGTCTTTGCTTCTAAAATGTGCCAGTGAAGAAAATATTCTATAGAAATTAGGAAAGATACTTGTTTTTCGAAAATAATCTTTGCTAAATATTAAAAAAAATTTCTCAATTCAGAGTCTCTGTTAGGAATAAATGATCATCAATCGAAGTTTTGTGAATCATGATATGTTTTCATTTTCATTCTAGTCATATATCAGTTTTATCTAGTGCAAACTTGCACTTTCAAAAGACATACTTGTGAAGTTTTTTTTATATGAACTTCAATGAAGAAATTCATAATATTAAAGCTTTCAATCTATCATTAGCAAAGAAATAATCAATACTATTTTAATAACAAATGAAAATGATCTTTCTTCAGCATCAGATCAAGTAGAGGATTTCGAAAGTATCATTTCGTCAGTAATCAATTAAAACAATCATGATTATTGAAGTTTGCACAAAGATCATACTCAATCAGTTCTCTATCAAATGCTAAATAAGCAGAAAAAATATGGTTCATTTTGAGTTTTATCATTATCTACTGACAAGATGTGCAGAAGGTCAATCCGATCATGTATCCAACAAAATAAATAATGATACAATACGGTTCTATCATTATTATTTCAAAATAGAAGTATAATTAGATGTTTCAATGTCAAAATCGAAAACCTTCTAATAGATGAAATAATAGTCATTGTTTCATTCGAATTTGCTTTCTTATAAAACTTTTTCAATTACTAATTTAATCGAATGCATGAGTGCTTTGAAACTTTATAACATTTCTTTTTAAAAAATTTATATAAAAATCAACTTTCGATGTTACACTATCATTGATCATACATCATATTTAAAAATCTTTGCCTTTCGATATCAAATGTATTATTTTACCTTTTTGTTTCTGTTCATATCTATGTCTCAATTTTTTTTTATTATGTTCTTAATGAAAAACATACAAATCTAGTTGTTCATAATCTCTTCTGTATGTGTGTGACTCGAGAGTCATTAAAAGTACAATAGTTGAATTATATTTTCAAAAAAAACATTACATTTTGTATTATAAGTATATAGAGAATGCTATTTGAATAAACTCAATAATCGTCTGAAAGCCATGTAAGTGTTGTTATTCATCACATATGATGTGAGAAAAAAAAAATTGAATATCAATTTGTGACGATAGTGATTGAATATTCGCACTTATGGATTATACTTTTAGTTTACTTTTACTCAAGTGATGCATTTCATCAGTATTGACAATCGATCAGTACCATATCAGACATTTTTCTAAGTAAAATAAAGTGGTACCTATATTTCTATTGTTCTTTTACATTTGTCAATTCAATATTCATATATAACATGGCACGACAAGTTGATCTGTGTAATCGAGATGTATCATTACCATTGAAAGAAAAAGAATATTGTACTTATTGTCTCATAAATCGTTTTTCAAAAAAAAAAAGTTGTCAAAAAAAGACCAAATAACAAATGACATCATCATTATCTTTAAGACCAGCTGTTTCTGTAACATATATATATATATATCTATTCAAATATAGATAATTTTTAAAAAGAAACGGATGACCACCTGACGTGTCCGAGGACAAATTATCTTTTGTCTATCTACTACAATATTGTATTATGTAATGAAAAAAAAGAGAAAGGAAAACGACACATTTGAACATATTCCTTCGTGATTGACAAATAGCTTTTCTTTTTCCTAATGTATTGTTGTTACAACTTTATATATGTATATAATTGTACTAGTAAACTACATAAGTTAATAGAAGAACAACACAATATGTTTGGCATGTATGTTTCGTAATCGTTAACAATCGCGTGCAATACACCAGCTTGAAGGCGACATTCATACAGTACAGTTCATCTACATATGGAAATGACTCTCTTAACTGTTCGTCGCCGATGTCGCGCTATGTCCTTTGATATATCTTCAAGGCGGAAATATGTTTCACCAATTTCCTGTTAATACTTATAAAAACTTGTCGCACCTCTCTTGTCATCTTAATTAGATTTGTTTTTTTGATAATAATCTACATATATACAGTGTTTGTCAGACAAAAGAAAAATTTACACACCTTTTCCCATCAAAATATAAGAAATTCCTTGAGAATTATCGTTTATCATTGAAATTTAGTGATTTATAAAGAACATAACAAAAAAAAAACATAATGTATTCGAGTGGGTGAAAAAAAGTTAATATTCATATGTATATATATATATATATTTAAGTGTACCGCTAGAAAAAGAAAATAACGATTTAAAAGCATTTGATCACAGTCATTTATTTTTTAACATGTTCAATTCTTAAAAGATTATACAAGTTTAAAATATAATCTATTTGAAGAATATATTAGTTCAAGTACTTTCAACTTACATCATATATGCACGATTGCTTTTAATTTGACTACTGATCTACTCATTTTATCACCATATGCATATTTCCTTCCTCTTCATTTTTTCATTTCCATGAAATTTGAAAAAAAAAAATACTTTCAACTGTCTCTCAAAAAAATAATAATAGTATTAGATTAGATTTAATAATGTAATATATACATCAACACGATAACTGCTTGTTTACTAATACGATCAAAAGACACATATTATATGATTATATCTATTCCATTTGACCTGATGATGAGAGAACAAGCACGTACAACATTACATGTTAAGCATGATGAATTCATTTCAATGGGCATACATGTCTTTTGGTCTTTCTGTCCGTATAATGAGAATAAGGTATCAACGTCTTGTCGCATGCAGGTCAATGCTCTTCCAGGATATGAATTTAAAACATAAGCAATCATTCTAAGAAAGAAAAATGAAAAAAGAAAGAGTGACACGTCGTGTGTCATTTGTACATTGAACTCAACTAATCGAGCAATATGATTACATCATACCTTCCGATTTCAACTTAGACGCGTGCATAATGACAGCTAGACAATTAAAAAAGAAAATTTCTTTTTCTTTTTTTTGCTATATGCAAGTCCAATCTTATTACGTGAAAAATTTTCCGTCCGCCCCTCGCATTAGATACATCCAAATGTCGACAACGACTAGACTTATTTCTTAAAAAATAAAAAAAGGACTGTCTATTCATTAATTTGTCTTTCTTCTTCGTTTTATTGTTTCTTTTTTTTTCTAACTCTACGTGTGTCCGAACTATTTTCTTCAATCTTTCTCATATTAATATTTGCCGACTTTGTATACAATTTGTAGTTTGTTAATTTGTTTTCTCGCCTCGAGCTTATTGTATATGACAAATACAATGAAACGATTTTCTTCTATGATTCATATTCACACATACTTAAAAGAGTTTGGTGAGAATACAAGACAAAAAAAAACATAAGAAAAGTTAAGAATGCTATTTTATAATTGATGATGACAAATAGTGAACAGTTTATCTGATCGATGACCTTGAGGCGCCGACAATATCACTAAATGTAAACAATTCATTTTATTTACATTATTTCAAACATAGTAGTAAGTTGATTATCAAGTATAGGTAAAAAAATTTCTCATTAACAAAACTAATCGTTAGTCAAACTTTTATATTAATCTCAAAAAATTATAAAGTAAATAAGATATCTATCTGGGTGGAGACAACCTCCTTAAGTCAATTATATGTTTTTTTTTTCTTTCTTTCTAAAGATTGTTCAAAAATAAATATCTAATCTCATTTGTAATCGAATCAAATACGATGCAATAAGTTTATCTCATGCACGAAGCAAAAAAATTACATAACAACGACAAAAAAAAAAAATTGTTGCAATGTATATTTCATTTTATACAAATGGAATTATCATTTGAAGCGAAAGTTTATTTTCTTCGTCTAATATAGTTAACACGCAAAATGATATCAATCCACTTATATACATTAGTTACGGAATTATTTACGGATGATAATTTAACATGAGTTCTTTTTTTTTGCTGTCTGAGCTTATGTATTTTGAAATAAAATAAAAAAAGTTCACGTATTCCTTCAACTATTGCCTTTTCGTCTTTCTCTCTCTCTGCTAATCCAAAGCTTAGTTAGATAAGAAGAAAGCAATTACATGATTAACAAAGGCTTGGTAACGAATGAGATACTAGTTAGAATTGTTAATAATAGAATCGTTATTTTTTTATTCGTTCATTCATCCGAAGCTCGTTTGTGCATTCATGCACAATTCGAGATGAATTATAAAAGATCATGATATCTTTACATACATATACATCCGTCTCAAGATGTTTCTTTACATCAATCTTTCTATCTCATAAATTAGTCTATTGTTCATAAAAAGAATGCAGACCAAAAAAAAAAAGAACCAGTCGATTTTGATAGTGTTTCAACATTTGACATTATCGTTTGTTTCTCTTTCTCTCTTCAAGACAGAAAAAAAAAGAAGGAATAATCGATCATCGATAGAGAGACAGAGAGGGAGAAGAGAAGAAAAAAAAAAGAAAGAAGTACAATTTTTTCTCTTTCTCTTTATGTTCATCTCACATACGAACATAGTCGTTCTTTTATACTATTCTAGATAAAAACAAATGACAATAATAATATATATTTTTCTTCTATTTATTCCTTTTATATCAACAATATCTATTGATATACGTTATCCACAATTTTTTCATCAATCACTATATGATTCTGCTATTGAAATAACTGAAGGTAAAACTATTGGTAGTTTTATAGCATTTATTAATTTAATTAATGATACAAATATAAATTTAAATGAATGGTTATTAAATACAACAAATAAAGATTTTAAAATACAATCTAATGATTTATCATATTCATTAATAACAACACAAATACTTGATCGTGAACGTGAAAATTTCTATAATTTTTCTATTGATGCTCAACATCTTATTTTACCATATGAAAAAATTTCTAAAAATATTCGTATACGTATACTTGATATAAATGATTGTACACCAATATTTAATCAAACATTATATAAAACAATAATGATACCAAATGAAACTAATTTTACTATAAAAGCATTTGATTGCGATGAACCAAATACAGATAATAGTCGAATAACATATACATTATCAAATTATCAAGATTTATTTCATATAAATGAAACAACTGGTATAATTCAATGTATTAAAAATCTTCATACATATGAAAATTATGAAATAATTATTGTTGCACGTGATCATGGTAAACCATCATTATCATCAACAATATTAGTACAAATACAATTAATATCATCATTAAAAACTAAAAAATTTCATAAATTTTTTTTTGGATTAAATATAAAAGAAAATTTAAATAATAATTTACTTTTATTATTATTATTAATAATTTTATTTATAATATGTTTTATATTTATATGTTTATTAATATGTTGTATTAATTATAAAATACAAAAATGTAAAGAAGAAAATTTTAATGAAAAAAAATTTTCATCATCATCATCATCATCAACAATAAATTCATTAAATGATTTTCAACAAACAACTGTTTATGATGCTGTTAATTTATTTCCAAATACATATTATTTACCAGTTGAAAAACAACAACAACAAGATTTTATTGAAAATTTAAATCATTCAAATTCTAATGATATATCTTTAGATCGACAACAATCATTATCAACAACAAGTAGTCCAATATCAACAAATGATAATGGAATTAAAATGAGTTCTGATGATGGTTGTTATTGTTCAAGTGATATGTCATCAGAACAATCAAATAATATACTTCTACTCAATCCATCATCATTAACATTATTAACAAATTCAAAATTATCTTCAAAACAAGTACGATTTAATGAACATAATCATAATATTGATAGAATTTTAAAACGTTTTGAAAATTTATATGAAACACAGACAAATACAGATCATTGTGCATCGTATGTTTAATGTAATAAGTTTGGATTTTTCTTTTATTCTGTTTGTACATGTTTCTTAAGAAAAAAAACAACAAAAAAAAAAACAAAGAACAGTCGATCGATATCGATCATTAAGTTTTATTTTTAACTAGCTAAAATTAACTATGGAATGTTAATGTTTTTTTTTCCGATAGTACTTTTCAAAGGTCAGTATAGAAGATTGAGCATTTATACGTGCTTGTCTATTCCTCATGTGTGCTACAATGAGTATAATCCGTATTGCGTGTATTAGAGATGCGAGACGATGGTAAAATAAGTTGACCATTTCTTTAGCCTTTTTCTCAGACCATTCAATTAGTAACTCTAAATGACAAAGCTATTCCTTGCACTACTCCTAATTGATGTACAAAAGAAACGACTGGATTATACTGAGAAAGAAGAAAACAGATTAGCAGATGTCCGGTCATTTAGAAATATAAAGAAACAATATATATATATATTTATGCTATGCTCATATATATATATATATATGTATGGGTATGTCATTGAAAACCGATTTGTTGTCGTGCTGTTGTGATTTAAAAATATTTTGATGAGATGATGGACACACCCTACAGTTTGATCAAACATACTTATTCATTGGAGACAAGCAATTACTCACACGCAGAGAGAAAACGATAATGAGAATTTAACAAGGTCTTTCTCTCTCGTGTGCTCTCTTCATTGTGCAAGCAACTGTAACTGATGAAATCTGTATGATGTCGGCATATACCTGCTTATGTTCAAAAGATCCAATTTGAAATCTCTTTTTTTTTTTCTATGTCAATATATTTGTGTCAATTTATTGTAGCAAAAAAAAACGAGAATTAAAATTCTTTAATTCACACATATTTATTTATTCATTGAGTCTAATCAATAAACTGGTAGATATATCTGTGTGTGTACATATATATATATACACGTGTCTAAGTCGTGATGATTATACTTGATAAAACAACAACATGATAATAAGTATTTTGTCTTAATGCTGAATATTGAATTTACCGCCTTGAAAAATTTATTTTAATATGAGAATTGAAACCAGATTGACAGATATTGTCTATATACTATTTACATCTAATCTATATTCTAAATATGTTTACGAATATGTCTTTGTTTCAATCACAAGGCTATCAATACTGTCATTACTTCTTTTTCTTTTTTGTTCTCTTTTCACATTCAATTTCAATATTGACTATCGATTGATGATGATATTCGAAAAAGCATTGACCTTCAATTCAATAGAAAAAGTCAAGCTGTCCTTTTGTCTTTATATGTATAGAATAGGAGATTTCATTAATGAACAATATTGCTTTTTAAATAGGTGAACATAATCTAAAACTTGTTTACTATCATATACTTGAAGAGTGTATGAATATTATATAGCATCGTGATCGTTCATATGACTGTTCTTCTCATATGCAAATTATGTTATTCAATGAAATGTTTTTTTTTTGTCGGAAGTCTTCAATTCGGTCAAAGTTCATCAAATTAAAAGAAAATAAGAAGTCTTTACTTATCTTCATGACTAGTTGAACAGAGCTCATATAATAATCCAGTTAAAACCGAATAATATGTCAACGATAATTGTTATGAGATACATATTGAAAACGAAAAGTAAACAACAAGAGTAATATGTAATTCGTAATTTCAAGAAGTATATCGTATTTATATGTTATAATCATTTGATTTAAAATTAATTTTCAAAATAAAATATGAATACTCCATAGTTTACTTTCTAACGTAATACAAATAGTAAGAACACATGTAATCTCTGTTGTTTTTTGTTTTGTTTTGTTATCTACTTTTTTTTTTTTTATCATACGTAGTCATGTTTGATATGATTCAAACTTAATAATAAATATATTTGACAAAATATTATTTTCAATTTAATTATCATGTCAAAAAGTGGATTAAATAATACTGGTAGAAATATTTCAAATGAATTTCCACCAACATATTCAACATATCAACATGCCTGTATGACATTTAGTATGAATGATCGTTTGCGATTCTTTCGATTTCCATTAGCAATTTTGAATGCTATTCGAAAAGTTATTAATACAACATGGTTAGAAGGCTTACAAAGAGAAAAAAAATATGAAGATTTTTATGAATTTAAATTTAATGGAAATCCATGGTTGTATAGAGACAATGACGGTCTAGTATCTCGAATCATGATGTAATTTTTCATTTGATCATCTTAAAGTTGTTTTTTTATAATAGTTATTTTTTATCTAAATTTTATTTAGATTACATATTTTCTCGACTTTGTATAGTCATGGTTGGTCTCTTGTAACATCAAATGATCTTTGTCGATTAACTGAAGATCGTAATTCATTCTTTTTTCAATTAGATGTACATCCATTAGCAACATCATTTTTTGCTATTTCACGTTATGATCTAGACAAATTACAGTTAATCTGTGTTTCATCTGAAATTATTCAAGCAGTCAAAAGTATACTTGGTGAACATAATATTCAACGAGAAGAATGGCTTGATGGTGGAAGAACATGTTATCAATTAAAAATGTATGAACTATTTTCATTGATTTTAAGTCTTTAAAATTTTCGTGTATATATAAATATATTTGTAGACGTGGCTATCCATGGAAAACTGAGGAAACAATTTTTAGTCGAATGAGATTACTTGCTTTACTCGATTGTTTTACTTCATTTAATTGTAAATTGTATACAGGAATTTATTTGCATACAACATCTATTGATAGTACTGAAGCAGATACTTGGATTTTTTGTCGAAAAATTCAATGATTATTCAATATTAATACAAAAAAAAATTAAAACTTAATGTTGTTCTTCAATTGAGGAGTTATTTTTTTGTAATTTATATGGTTTTAATATATTATTTAATAAAATATAGAATAAGTTATACTTTATTATGACAAGAGCATGCAAACCTGCTTTCAACAAGTTTTGTCAGAAAAAAGGTATATCTATCAAAAAAATTGTCAACCAATGAACATCAAACAGGTTACAATTTTGGTGTACAGATAATACTACATTTTGTAGAGAAATATTTTTCCTATATAGTTTTCAGAGAAGTTTTGTTTCACAGGATCGGTTAAAAATATAATACCGAAATTTAATAGATGGACTATGAAAATACATTTTCTAGAGAACAGAACTTGTTCCCTTTCCTACAACGTTTCTATAAAAATTTATTAACAGTAAAAAGCGAAATTTGCCACAGATTCCTAAAAAATATATTGTCTAATTTTTTGTAATGCTAATTAACATTTTGAAACAAGATTGTAGCAAATGCCGTGATCCCTCAGATCGTACTCTCAAAATTTTTTCTAGAATCTAAGAATTGCTGTGTTAATTTGTTGAGATTACCTTCCTTTCATAATCCATGCATGTAATTTTTGTCATGAAATTTAAAAAACCTTGATCTTATGTCTTTCACGAGTACTTTATAGAGAAAATATTTCTCTTCTCTTTATTGACTATCATCTGGTCAAATCTCGAATGTAATATAAACAAATCAAATGTTATAATACGAAGAAGAGAAAAAAAAACAAATTTTATTTTCTGCTAAGATAATCTCTTATAAACGAGTTTTCCTTCATGTTTATTTTTGTTCGTGAGTGAAGCTCTAAATGATTTTGATAAGAATCCATATCATAACAGGCACACATCTTAAGAAAGATTATAGTTTCAATGAATTAGTCAAACAGAAAAAAATTCAACTTTAACACTTTTGTTGATAAGAATTTTTTTTTTTTTCGTTTGCATATTGTTTTAACTCAAGTCTATTGCTTTAAATTAATTATTACTCCTTCATTTGATCTCATGAAATAGTAATACGTAAGAAGCATTTTCCATTAATAAACTTAACCTTCGACTATGACAGTTTGCGACTTCTTTTTTTTGTGATGATTTTTCACAGAGAATGATGTTCATTGAATAAATATAGGCTTCTTTTCTTGAATTGTTTGTGATATTTAAAGGTTTCACTTCTGTTATCATAATATATTAATAACTCCTAACCTAACAGACATATAGGCCTTTTCGTTTTACTGGTATACAGCCAATGAATAGGAACTGATTATTTTATTTACTAATACCCATCAGATACCTAGAAAATGCATCTGTTTCTAGTAAAGAGAAAACACTGCTTTTATAAAAGACTTAACTTCTTCACGGTAGACACTTTTTAATGTAATCCCTGCTGGATTAAAATGCAAAAAACGATGTAGTTGCTGTTACTAATCGTATGAAGATTGTTTTATGCAATCTATTTTTCGACACATTTTTTCACCATACTTTCATTTAAGTCTTCAAAAATGCAATAAGGAAGTAGTTCATACAGTATAATGAGATGTTAGTAATATACGGTCTTCGGGGAGGTCCAAATTTTTACTTCTAAACTTCAAAACTTCTTTTAGGTCATCTTTCACAAAAAACCTATTATTAAAATAATAAATACATTAGTATTGTAGAAATTTACCAACGAATAATGTCAAAAAGTAACGTGAACAACATCTCTGATATACTCGAACAACATGCTTGTGTTACATTGAATATGACTGATTGTCTTCGATTAATTCGATTTCCAGCATCAATTATTGATGTTATTCGTCAAGTTATTATTACTAATTGGCCACGAGGTTTGAATAAAGAAAGACAAGATATTGATTTTTATGAATTTAAATTGTATGGAAATCCTTGGTGGGATCCAAATGATGATGCTATATTATCTCGAATTTTAATGTAAGTTTTTCATTTTAATTATCCCATTAATTTTGTAAATATGTCATTGATTTTAGGATTCATATTCTTTCAGCTCTCTATAAACATGGTTGGTATTTATTAACATCAACTCAAATATCTAAAAGACTATACGATAAAGATTCATTAATATTTCAACTTAGAGTACCTCAACCAGAAACATCATTTTTTGCTATTTCATTTAATGATTATGATAAATTACGATTGATCTGTGTTCCCCATGAACTTATTCCATTAGTACAACAAACTCTTGGGAAAGCTATGATTCAACGAGAAGCATGGTGTGATGGAGGAAAAGTGTATCAATTTAAATTGTATAAAAAACTTTTTTTTAATTATTAAAAAAAAAATTTTCTATTTCTAGACATGGTAATCCATGGATAGGTCATAAAAAGGAAGCAATTATTTCTCGAATTAAACTTCTTTCTTTACTCGATTGTTTTAATACATTCGGTTGGAAATTATATGCAAGTATTGATATAAGTCAAGGTGATGAAGGTAGAGATACAGATTCTTGGGTTTTTCGTCGAGATATTCAATAAAAATCTCAAAATTAATCATTAAATATTTTCTTTCATTTAAATATTCTATTTGTCGTTGTAAAGTTTGAATGATTGTAAAATACTTTGTCAAAATTGCTTAAATGTAAATACGCCTATTCTCATACAATAAAAAGACGTTCAATATTCTACAGATTTTTTTTTAATCAATGCAATATTTTCTAATCACTTATACGTGTATAAATCTTTGAATAAGATGTGTCACATCGTAAAAAGAAAAAAGGATATATTAATTCTGACAGTTATCTTTTTTTTTTGTGTTAAAAGTAATCTGCCATCTGTTTTTTTGTTTTACTCAATTTCTCGTCCTACAAGGACAATCATATTGACAAAGTGAGATTACATTTCTAACATATTAATTAATCAGAACAACCATATAGCTTTCAAAAGTTTTCAATGACTTCTTGAATAAGAAATTTTTTTTAATTTTTTTGTTTTACTACCTTGATATTTGAATCTAGATAAGATTATTGTTTACATTAATTATCTATAGTTCATATATTACTATGGTAGCATTAATAATCATACGCTTTTCATTGACAAGAGATAAGTTATTACAAAAATAGTTTTTCTTACAAATGAAGACTTCAAAAACACGATTTCATCTATAATGAAAAAGAACTGAATATAATATGAATTATTTTCTAACTCTTAATCAGTCTTGAAATAAAGATGATAATTTTCTAAGCTAGGTACGCATAATAACAGATCTGAAATGACATTTATAATTAATAATAAAGTTTATTAATGGCATTGATCTTATTTGACGATGCATAATGAAAATAAAAATAACATACTCTAAAATAAAAATTAAATTTTAATTTGATCTACTTGTGATGAGAAAGAGTAATAAAAATTACATTGAAATTTTTGTTCTAGATTCTTGTTATAACTTATATTTTTCATTTCTTACTTTTAATCAATTGAAACTTGATCTCAGTCAAAATAAATTTAGCTGAATATCGATCCGAACGAATGTCAATATTGTTTGTAAAACTATTGAACATAATTGTAATCATTTCTCTGTCATAACTAATTTTTCGTTGTTTGTCAAACACAAATTTATTTCACCTGTATATTTCAAGTATATACGCAATTCTATTCTCGTACTGAATGTAACAATTGACTCATATTTCTAAAAAATTAAAACAATAAAAATTTATTCTTTTCTTTTTTTTTTTCAATTAAAATTGTATTTATGATGTCTTTGTAAGCATTAAAATATTTCAGCTGTATCCATGACATTCCATGAAAAAACACGGAATCGATTCTCTAGTATATGAGTAAAAATAAAAATCATGACATTGGATATAAGTATCTGATTTCTTCGCCGAAACTATGTTTCACAAATAAACTAAATTATCATCAAAATCTCTTCGCATATTTCAATGTTTGTTAAATGTTGCTTCTAGTGTATTCAACTAATTGAAAGATTTTTTTTTTCTCAAAAGATTACTTCTCACGATGTTCACAAAATGGAATAGTTTTCTAGATAAGATATTATCCTAGAGGGAAATCAAGCATAAAATGGAAGTAGTTTTAATAAATTGATTTCATAAAAATTTTTTAATGACTAAAGGTTATTGAGGACAAATGCATGAAAATAATATTTTGTACTAAGACAAAAACATGTAAAGACTAAGAACATTCTTTTGCTATTCAGTTTATAAAATGAAGTATCTCTCGTTATAAAAATAGATCATAGTTGCCTTTTTGAGTAAGAAATATGCATCATCTGGATATTCTTTATTTCAATAGACAAGTTTCTTAGTCTTCTGATGATATTAAATTTTCTCTGAACTTAAAAACTAAAGAATTCCTTTATTATTGTGTTTTTGTTATATCTGTCTTAAATCTTTGTAGAGGTTTTCAATTCGAAATCTTTGAATAAATAATAGTTTGATTAATAAAGAAAACATTTTCAAAATACTGACAGCGCAATTCTTCAAGAGCTATGAATTATCTATTTAAATTATAACAATATCTTTGTTTGCTGAAGTAAACATTCTTATCTTCATGTAAAGAAAAAAAAAAACAAGGTTACAAAACTTTCAAGATCAAACACACTATATCTCATCGACCATCCAACAATCGGAACTTATATGTCAAAACACTATTATTTATACTATATTGCTGAAAGTCTATAAAACACACATGTTAATCAATGTTTATTGATCATGATAGAATACTATTGCCAAATCTGGTTTTATTGTTACATATTCTTTTCTTCATCTAACGAGAGAAATCCATAAACTGATTAATGGCTCTTGAATTGGGACTATGTGCGTCATTGTATATATCCTAATGAGCTATGAATATCTGGTAAAAAAATGTTCGAGTACTTAACTTATTGCTGCAGAGATAATGCATTTTTATGAGAGATTTTAATTCAATGCTGGGCTCTTCCTTAAGACAACTAATTTTTTGATTTAAAACTTTGCATAGAAACAAATCTCGATGAAAACAATTTATTGTCAGAGTTATTTAATATTCTTATTTCAGGATAGTAGTAAATCAAAAGACGTGAAACTTTCATAATAAATTATTCTCATTAAGATCTATCTGTATGCAAAGTTTCGAATCAAGATTTGAAAATGAATTTTCCTGAGGGAAATCATGGTATTGACTTTACAAAATACCATAAAAATGTAGTATCATGCAGAAGTAAGCTAAGATTTTGCACTATTTTCAAAGCATTCATAGAATCATTAGAATCTACATGATGCACATAGCTTCAACTCAAAAGCGATTAATCAATTGACGAATTCCTCTCGTATAATATTTCCAAATTCGGGTGCTCTTGTATATATATATATATTTACATGGGATTCTACTATAATTATTAAAAAAAGCATGTTAGATTAAAATAATAATCGTCAATCAATTTGTCTTTCTAAATCTATATTTTTTAGAAAATTCACATTTGTTTTCTACACTAAATCATTTGTTAAATTGATTCTTTATTTTAAAAAAAATTTAAATAAATATATACTTTTTCTAAATAATTGATATTGTTGATTTAAAAAATTATGTTAGATTCTATCTAACAAATCTTGTAAACACAAAAAATTTCATCATAAATATACACATTTAAACTTCATCGATTCTCTTCTATCAGAAGTTGTTTCTTTTTTTTTTCTCCTGTTCCAATCTTGAAAATTTATTTTCACTATTTCTATTTCTCGAGAAGGTTAAGAGCTCGTGCAATTTTTTTTTCTTGATTTAATGGTATACTTAAAATCTATCTTGACTTGTTCGCTTCTTCACAAACTCACTGATCGTAGAAAGAAAAACAAATTATACTAATGCATTTTCTTTTTTTTTTTCTTCTTCTTTTTTTTTCTTTATATCATTGATAGAAAAAAAAAATCAGCTGTTGACATGTTGAGTCATTTGGTATTGAAGAGGACAAAAAACATTCATTGATTTTTGATAATTTCTTTGTACTATTATTGATTTCATTCTTCTTCTTCTTTTTTCTTTGTATCAATTTCAATTAGTCATCCTTCAAAAATTCTATTTTATCACATTACTGTTTTTTTTTTGATTGATCTGTGCAAAAAAAAATAAGACAATGACAACGAAAGCATGAATGATCAACAATAGATATTTGTCTGTATATTTCTTGGATAAAAGTTTTGATCTTTACATATTGCTGATGGATATAAAGAGAATGTGTGAGAACAAAATTGACCTCTAAACAACCTTTCAATCAATAGTATGAGTGTATGCACACACAAGAGAAAGAAAGAATACATATATATATATAGATACATATGCACAGCAGGAGAACTGCAGAGAACAATCGATATAGAATGGATAGATAGACAAACGGACAAATGGTTCAACTACGAACTCTCCATCTTTCTCTTCTTGCTCTATATATGCCGTAAAATTCTGATAGTAAAAGAAGAAAAAAAAGTGATCGACGCAGAATCCCTTTACGCACCATTCAACGCATTGCCACAACACAAATTCTTTCTCTTCATTTTCTCTTACGCCGTGCTCGACGGCAACATCCAGAAGATTTTGTTCGTCGTCGACGATGGAGTTGAGAGTTCTCCGTTTTTTTTTTCTTCATTAACGTCCTCGTCATCGTCAATACCAAGTCTCACAGCACATACACACACACTCTCACATACTCACTCACTCACTCACTCACACACATAGTAGTTATGAAGGTATAGAAGAACACGAAAGAGACCCTTGCATGCTTTGGATTTTTCGGCATTCTATTAGTCGTTATGTCGAGGAGAAGTTGAGAGATGAACTTTACACATAGAACGAATGCATGCGCAAATGCTTATATTACATGATCTGGAAAGACGAGAGAGATAGAAGAACGAGATACAGAACCCGGTTTTGGAATGACAACGATAATAGAGAGCGCAAAAAAATGCGAGAAAAAAAACGATTTTATATGGTGTCCTTCTTTTTTTTTTCTTCTTTTATCTAGCCTACACGCACCAGCTTTGGCAAGTAAGGCGTAGAAAGTCAAAACGAGAAAAAGAACGATAACGATAGAAATAGGGCGTTGGCTCGTAGTCTTTCATTCGGAACGGATATACAGGTAGACAGGTTTTCATTCATAGAACCTTATCATCATTTAGAAAAAAAAATAACCAAAGTATGTATGTGTATCTACATGTTAGTTCCAAAACCCAGTTTCATAGAGTGCAATTCTATAATGCATGCACTTTTCTTCAATAGACTAGTGCCGATCAAAGAGAACCGACAAGGGAGTAAAAACAGAACGAAGAAGAAAAAAGAACGTACTTATATCATGTTGTTCTCTATGACTGCCTTTAGTATAATGTGGTGTAGTAAGTAGAAGAAAAAAAAAAAAGAAAGACAAAACTGCTTGTAGGCAATGCACTTTTTGAGAACTCGAGTATCAAAAATGTTGAGAAGTAGAAGATTTTTGTTACATGTCTTTTATCTTTAGCAAAAAGTCAATTGATATATGCATATATGTATACATATAAATGTGTACATTTTCATTTTGCCTGCCCTTTTCTTTATTCTGAAATTTCTTTTTCTTAAACAACCGCAAAATAGGACAGAAAGAGAGATTGGACTCAGTAAGAAGCAGGCGGACGAATGGAAAAGAAAGGAGAAACATTCTTCGTTCGTCACTCATATTGGTAATAGACCATCAAGAGAGAAAAAAAAAAGAGATTATATTGTACGTATACACGTACGATTCGTCCGTCCATACTGTGTCTTCTTTTCCTTAAAAAAAAAGAAAATTTTCTGACGGACATGCATAAATCTCTATTTCAGAACGTTGAAATATACATTCATTCTTATGTTGACCTTCTATTGACCGTTCATGGATTCAGCATCAATATCTATAGTAAAAAAAACTTTTCGTTTTCTCTTGTTTAATTATTCTTATATATGAAACTTTAGAAATCAAGTGTGTTACAATGGAATATGGATGCTGTTGTTGCTTGGCTTCATGAATCAAATTTAGGTGCATTTGAAAAAGTCTTTCGAGGTATAACCTTTATCAAATTAATTATTGATTATAAAGTATTGCAAAAAATTATATTTTTATTTCTCTTCTTAGACAATGAAATTGATGGTCCTATATTACTTAAATTAAGTGAATCAATGGTTGCTCGATTATTTCCAACCATAAAACTTGAAGTACAATTTCTTGATTTATTACAAGTACTTAAACAAAAACATGCAGCTGATTTAAATTCGAAAAAAACATTTTCATCATTATCATCATCATCTGCTATAACAAATGGACGAACAACAACACATCAATTAGGTACTCATATTCTAGCATCATCATCATCATTTGATAATGGTAATAGTCATTCATCGAATTCAAATTCTCCAACAAATTTAAATGGTCATCATCATCATCATCAATCAAAAATTATTTATTCTGAACGTTCAAATATTTCTAAAGGACCACCATTAAAAACTCTTAAACGTGAACCAAAATATTTTCCAAATCAAACACTCAAGTATATTAAAAAAAAAAAAAAAAACGAAAGAAAAATGAAAATGATTTTTTTTTTGTTTTCTAGTACTCAAACAAATGGAAATTTAAATATGAATACAAATGAAAATGATACAAAACATACATTTCCTCATGTATATAAATTACCACAATTTCCTGAAACACTTCGTTTAGCACTTGCATCACAAGATGCAAGTGCTTTTAAATTACGTACTTATTATAGAAATTTATTAATCTCATCTATTTATGATGATCTTACACGTACATATAATCTCTGGTATGTAGGAGGAAAAAATATATATATATATATGAAATAATAATCCGTTTTTTTTTTATCATACAACGTAACAAGTTATTTTTATATCGATTATATCTTTATTGAATAATTTATCAAAATATCTGTTGACTTCTATCTGTTACATAGTACGCAATGCGTAGTAGGCTATTTTTATATAGTTTATTTTTGTTCATAGAAATATTTATTTAAAATATTCAATGAAAAAAAAAAAAATCTGTTAAAGACATTTATGCTAACTGAGTAGATGTGTTAGACAAAGCAAAAAAAAAAAAGATATTTTACTTTATTCCATTGAAAATATTCTATTATTAATTACTTATTTTAGGTATCCAAATGCTCGACAATATAAAACAGTCGCCTCAGCACTTGTCAAATCTTATCCATTTCTTGAATCTTCAACAGAAGGTGGTGAAGTAAGTAATTTTTATACAAATATAAAAAATAAGTTTCTTCTATTTGTTGCTTTTTTTTGTTTTTGAAAGGGTGCATGGATTGATGGTATTAAAGGAAAATTTAAACGTGGTCGTCGTACTGTAACATCATATGTTGATGCAACACAATCAATGAGTGGTGAGAATGGTTATGATAGAATATCCGGTGATGAAGAAATAGGCGAAGAAAAATTAGCACAAACATCCGGTGGACAAAAACGATTAAGACATGAATTTGAAGTTGATTCTGATGAAGGACATTATGAATCAGGTGAAATGCCAAGAACAACAAATGGAAAAGAAACTGTATGTTCATTTCTTTTTTGCTTTTTTAATAAAAAAAAATATAGTTTCTTTTTAATTTTCAGGATCAAATCAGTGAAAATAATGATGAAATCGATGAACAAGAATTAAAACGTTTAGAAACCTGTATAAGAGTTATGAAAGAAACATTAGCAACAACAAATGATCCTGATATATCTCTTATATCAGATTATTTTAAAGAAACTTTTGAAGTTCGACGTGATTTTGTTAAAACACATAATACAAATGAAATTCTTATGGAATATCCGGCATTACAATTACATTCATGTGTATGTTTTATTGATTATCTTTTTTCTTTTTTTTTCGAATGAAAATCAAATTTTTTATTTTATTTTAGTTACTAGCAGATTTTCATATGCAAACAAATATACCTATTCAAACTGTTTTAATACATAAACTTCGTTCAATATCAAAACCAATTATACGACTTGCAAAAGAAACAGGTTGTGCACCTGAAATTCTTCATTCTTATCATACAATTCTTTCTCAACGACCACAATTAGAACAAAGTAATATTCTAGAAAAAAAAGACAAGAAGTGCACGTTTCATAGATTCAAATTAGACTATATTTATATCTAACAAAGAAGTGAAGCCAACTGTAATCTACTGTTGGATTTCATATTGTGCTCACAAGGAGGTCTCGATAAGACTAAAGACAACAAAAGATTTGATCCCTATAGAGCAAAATTATGATTAAAGATGTGCAAAATAAGTTTTTTTTTATCTGTACTCTGTATTCTGACTGGGAAAAAGCTTTCTAATCTTTTCTTTATCCCACTTTATAGTGTAGGGTAGCGTGACCTTATAAATCTTTAGTTATGATCGTTTTACTGGGTTTTTAACCATGAGATAGATTCACTGATAAGCGAACGTAGTCACATCTTTTTTACAAAGATCCTAATTGAGTTTTATTTTATTTTAGTCTTAGCCGATACATTCGCTATATTAATTGTTGCATGTTATTTTGGTGAATATCAATATTTATTAATCTCACCAGAGAAAGTAAGAAAACAAAAACAAAAAAACATTTTTTTTTTTTGAAAAATAATTCATTTTTTTTTTGTTTAGGATGCACAATCTCCATGGCCAATTATACGTGGTGATCATCCAGCACGTGCATTTTTCGATGGAAAATCTTCATCATTAGCATATAATATTGAATTAGATTATGTTCAATTATTTCATCGACCATTAAATGATTTTTTAACAGCTATATGTACATTATTTGCTACATATACAGTTTTTGAAATAACATTTGGTAAATTAGAAATGACATTATCATTTATTGATTGTTTACTTCGAGATAATATACATGCATCAACACGTTCACCACAAGTACTTGAATTAATTACTGAACTTAATTCGATGAAATAAAAACAAATTTTTTTTTTTTTTTGCAATTATCTCACGCAGTGTACATGTATATATAATATAAATATATATGTGTGTGTGTATGTGTCTAAATATATTTGTTTCGTCATATCGAAAAATAAAAATAAAAACAAAAGGAAAAAGAACGACCTTTGTATTTTTTTTTGTGTCAATCTTTTAAATGATAAATTAGTATAACAGCAATGATATAAAGTATACTAATTAAAAAACCAAATATAATACCAATTAAACGTAATAGATTACAATCATATGTAATAGAAATAATTTTTAATGATGGATCACTAAAATCATGTTGTGTTATAACATGACCATGTGTATAATTAATAATTGCATATAATGTAAAACATGAAGCAAGAAGAAAAGCTAATGATAAACAAATATATAAAATAAAAGTTAAGTTTTTTGCTTGAATTTTTATTGAACCAAATAAACGATTTATAAGAAAATAAATTTCAAATGTCAATGATATCCATATTAAAATATAATAAAAAACTATTGTTTGATGATTAAAACCAAGAAATTCATTTAATGATGAATTACATGAAGAAATTTTAAATTCAGCAAATATTAATAAAATTATTATACAAATAAAACGTATAAGATGTATAATACCCTGTGCATGTGTAAAATAGTTAATTGACATAATTTTTTTCGATTATTAAAAATGAAAATCAATAGAATAATAATGAAGCGCTATTTCTTTATCCTTTTTTTGTTTTTGTTGTTGTAATTAACTAAGAAAAGAAACATACAAAGAAATGAATATTGATTATATTAAAAATCAAAAAGGTTTATTACATATTACTCGACTTATTATTTTTATTATTTGTATTATTTTTATGAATATATTATCATGTGGACAAAATGCATTTGGTGGTCATGCAAATATTAATTCAACATCAGATAGTGAATTTATTCATATAAGTAAATAGCCGATTTACAATGATTATATAAAGAGGATTCTATAGAAATATATATATAGAAAGATTCAGATATGCTTTTGGATTATGGATTTAAGATAATCTTTTCTGGATATTTCTGTCTATCTCAAAAACAATTCAAATGTTCAGAAAAGATAGATGTCAATAAGTAAAATAAAAGTATTAGCATTCCACAACACAAATCGTCATGTGAGTATCTAGGTGGAAAATTGAAAGTGTACTTTTTGATGATTTATGTAGAACAACATATACTTTGACGTTTGGACTATTTAATGATATAAAAAGTCGGAAAATATCGCCAGTAGTTATTATGAGCCTTCTTGTTACTGTGAAACATATTTTCATTAAAAACTGTCAACATTTGAGAGATGAGCTGTATTTGTAGTGAAGTTTCAACTCGATTGAATTTACCACGTCTCATCAACAAGGGCAAAAGCTGTCGATTTTTTACATAAAAATTATATTTCTTGAACATTTTATACTTGACTTTGCAAAATGTATCGTATACACCAAATATGATAAAGTTAAGTTGCGTTTTGTATTTCATCCTTTGTATTCTTCAGATAATGAATTTATTACGTCTTTGCCTTAATATCCTGTAAGACTATGATACTGTATAGTTTTAAGATTTAAATATTAAAAAACAGACCGAATGATTATAACAGGAAGGATTTTATTGTCAATAACTTGATCATTGTGATTAAATC